GCATGGCTTTTAATTTTGTGTGAATATAGATTCCAGAAGATCTTCATTTCGTTCTGAGGATGAGGCACACGTTCGAGTCTCTGGGATATCAGTCCGGTTTTTACCTTTCCCACCTCTTCTCTTCAACCAGAAACCCTTCTTCCTCCTCCTCCTCCACCTCCGCCGCTGCCGTCACTCCCATTCATCCACCGCCTTCTCTCGTCAACTGGCCTCATCATCACCACCACCGGTCACCACTCCTTCCTTCTGCAACTACTTCCATTAATCTCTCCTCTCCCACCAACTTCCACAACTCGTCAACACTCGGATTGAGTAGTTCTATGCCTCATCAACCCAGGGACCAAACCCACCTCTTCCTCCACGACCATCATCCCTCTGATCAGCCGCCGCCATTGGGCGGCCATGGAAACGACGACCTCAAATGGCAGAACGGGCTGTCGTTTTTCAACCCAGACTCGAACCCTAGTACTGGAAGTGAGTTCCAGAAGCAGGAAAGCACCATGGATAAGTTCAAGAGGAGCTTCACTCTACCTTCAAGAATGGCTTTGTCTTCTTCGTCTCCTGCAACTCCATTAATGGATCGTCATCAACATCATCAGCAACAGGAACAGGAACAGGAGCAACCTGTGGATTACAGGAAATCAGAAGGAGGGTCATACCAGGATGTGATGGAGACCTTTTAACTTGGAACAATAATGGCGGAGGCTAGCCAGGGCAAAAAAGTGGGTACTTGATTGAGAAGATGATGAGATGATGAGTTTGTATGTATGCGTAATAGTTCTTTGATCGTGTCCCTTTTTATTCCCTTTTTTCATGTGTTTTTGCCTTTTCACTTTGTAGTTTTGTCCTTATGTTTCCTTTCTTTCTTTCCTTTTTCTTGATTATTATTAGTCATACTTTATTAATGATAATTTCTGTCTTAGCTCCATACAAGGTTGAAGGTGAATGATGGACGCTAGTCACAGTACATTGGCAGTTAAAAGATAAAAAGGGCAATAATTTAGTCATAATTCTTGATATATTTAGGGTTAATATAAACTTTAATTTTTTAAAATTATTCTTGGTTTTAGTTTCTCAAATTTTAAATCATAGATTTTAATCCCTTAAATTTCTTTTTATTTAAAACATCATTTCTTGTAATACAATAAAAATTTGAATCATTTTATCTCTTAAAAGATTAAAACTTATTATTTGAAATTTAAGAGACTAATATCAAAATGAGAGTAAACTTAAAAGACCAAAGATTATATGAACTCATATCTTTTATCATCAGATTCAATTTCAATACGAGTTTGATGATTATGAATTATTATAACTTCAGTTCACATAATTATCCCCTTCTTATGTAATTCTCTTACAAGCTTATTATATTATCATATTAGAAAATAAAATAGTAAATATGTAAATAATTGTGTGTGAGAGAGAGAGAGATCCTAGTTCAAATTCAAAAGAGAAATCATATCTTAACTTTCTTGGTATGTTTTTTATGTTCCACCCAAAGAAACTTTGGGTGTAGCAAAAGGGAGACATAAAGAAAATGCTGAAAAGGAAAAGAAAAGGATAAAAAAAAAATGGTGTTGAATATATAATGGGATCATATCTATATTGTGTTTTTGTTGCAAAACGAGACGTGTTAAGGGTTAATTGGTTGAAAGTTTCTATAAATCAACGATACCTTGTAATGCAAAATCAAAGAATATCGATCAGACTGAGAAAATGTAAAGTTTTTTAAAATAATAAATTAATTAAAAAAATTGAATAATATGTTGCTAGGCAATTACTGCGAGCTAAGTCGCCTGCATGCATTTACAATATTATAATTAATTAATTAGTTAGTTAATCACATTTTTTTACATGATAGTAGAATCTCCAGAATTAAATAACGAAGTTCAACTTGATTTTTGAATAAGGTACACAGTCCCTCACATCCTTATTATAGAATAAATTCATGGCCCCAATACAAGTCACCTAAAACGCTATTAGTTAGCATTATCTAATTTTATGAAAATTATTAAAAAGAGAATTTAACTTATAGTGTTTCTCTATTTTTAATAAAGTTAGCAAATTTTTAAATTTTAAGACAGATTTGATGAATTTGTTTTTTTTTTTTCTCTCAATTCTGATGAAACGATTGAAAATGATAATAATGGAGTCAAGGGAGGAAGGTGGTGTGTCAACACATGCGAAAGTAATGATGTGAGGTGAGCAATTAGAAGCAGTAGATGCCAACTAAACATAGATATTAACAAATGGTAATGATGGTGTTACCAAGTTTGATGAAGAAATAATTAGGTGGGTTTTGGAAAAATTAAAGATAAGATGTGTTTCATCATATTGTCACTAAGCTAGCTAGCTAGCTAGCCCACAAGCTGTTGATTTCTCAATCTTTGTTCATCTCCCATATTCAATGAAATTACTCATTCATTTTTTTGTCTCCTTTTGTTTTCTCCAAAGCAACCCCAAATAAATAATCCCACTATCAAATATGCCTGTTCCCACCGCAGTTTTTCTTCTTCTTCTTCATTTTGCAAATGAAGACCAAACATGTATATGGTAAAAAAAATGTAATTAATAATTTATTTATGAACATATTTACCATCTGTTAAAATAACAAAAAATTTAGTTTTTTTTAGAATATAGACTTTTGTTGTTGAAATTAAAAGTCATATTAAATAAATTTAGTTTAATTTAATTTAAAATTTCAAATTGAAACATCTTCTAACTTAACTATATATATATATATATATATATATTTTGTGCATGTTTGGATAAAATTGGATGAAGATCAACGATGAGGATAAAAATATTTAGATTATCAAATTAAATTAAATTCAATTAGAAAATATGATATGATCAAAGACCTTTTGATTAATGAACTGATTAATGAAGGAGACAAAGTGTGAACTGCAAAAATATTTGGTGTTTTTTCTCAGAAGAATCACTGGTCCCATTTGAACCCTTTCTGCTTGGGACCACCTCTTTCCAATCTAACCCAATTACCAGTATTTGTTAACTTTTCTTCAAAAGCACTCTTAAATTGGCGCACATAAATTAATTAACATGGTAGAGAAACTCGGAGGTTTATCTGTTGGGCCGAAGGTCCATAGTGGACCAGGCCCAATATCATGATTAGTTTGACTCATAAGAAGGTCTTGTGGGCAAAACAAAGTATCTTCAGAACAAGCTTTGAAAAGTTTGGCCCAAAAAACACCCGAATAGCTTAATTCATATTGTTGGATTTCAAAGCGCAAGCGACAGGTATAAAACAGCAACGCATCAAAGAATTGGTCTAATGTTTAAGAAGTAAACTCATAATTCTTTACGTCATGAGTTTGAATCCTACTGTTAATATGAGAATTTTATTGATAAACAATCTATAACAATATCTATTAGCACTCTCTAGATCTGAAACATGTCTTGGCTGTAGTGAATCGTGCACTAACTCACATAAACTTTTTTGTATAAAAAAATATTTTAAAAAATTCTTGATGAAACAAAAATTTTGAAGACTTATATGGAAGATATTGATATTTAAATGACATTCTATTTTTGACATTATTCTCAATAATATAAAGAAATTAAAGGGCAAATTCTATGTTAGGAGTTTTGTATTTGATTTATTTAAATTTTTTAAAATTAAAAACTTATTCAATAAAAATTAATTTATTTTATTATAAAATTCCAATCTATAATATTAAAAAATATCATGATCGGCGCAGAAAATTTGGCAAGGAATGAAAAGATCAAGAGACTTAAAATCGGGTCTGAGTCAGATCCAACGCATTAGATTCTATTTGCAACCTTTATATTTGTTATAAACTCAAAATCAAAAGTCAAAACTATAACCTTTATAAATTTCCTTTTTTCCCCCAATAAGTTTCTAATTTTTGTTGTTGCTCTATCTAAAGTTAAGTGGTTTTACTTTAAATGTATTTTTTAAGTGTTGAAAATTGGAATCATCCTTCACATATATGGATATGTAGTTATACTTTTAAACAAAAATTCATAAAGAAGAGTTGATTGGGCTCAATTGCGTCACATAAAGAATCAAAGAAATACGAAGAACTATTAAAAAAAGTTATCAAATGGGAATTTTTAATTAATGTTATATCTAAAAATTTCATTATCAAATACTACCTCCAGTTCTAAATATAAAACCTCGTTTGATTTTTATTTTGGTTCTAAATATAAGACCTCAATTCACTTTATCTCTAATATTTATGTCTTTTTTCCTAAAGTAATCATTTTAATAATAATAATTCTAACCAACACACTTGATTAGCAAGGATATTTTAGGAAAGACAACACATATTTACTATAAATAACTAACTTAACTTATTTTTTTAATCCTCTTAAATTAGTTAACTAACTTTTATAATTAGGATCGGAGCTAATACATTCTTTAAGTCAAACGCCCCTTGGCCTCATGGCATTTAGACGCACTTCGTGAAGCATAGCTTGGCAAACTAAAAGAAACTTGTCAAACTTGAAAATTAATTATCTGGCAAGTTTTCGAGGTATTTGGAACATAAGAATATTGATTGATTGGTAAATTATTAAATTATTGTAGTTGTGTACGGTTATAAAATTTTAAAAGTTTGATTAATAAAGGTTAAATTTGAAAGACCAAGTCAAAAATTAAGTCGAACTTAAGGATAGATTATTTGGAAAAAAAAAATAGTAAAAAAAATCCTAAAAATTAAAAAATTATATATAGAGACTCATTTATAAAAATTTTTCTCTATTGTTGTCGTAAAGGATCTTTATTTATAATTTTTCTATTTTCATGATTTTTTCTTGTGATTCTCCCAAAAAGTAGAAAGTAATTTAATAAAATTGAAAAGAAGTTAATCATCCAAATAAAAATAGGGAAAAGAGAGGGACCCGGGGGGACTATAATCAAGGAAGGGAGTAATGACGTGTCATGGCGCGAACGGGTGTGATTCTTTGTTGGGATTGAAAAATGAGAAAGAGAGACAAAGAGGGAAAGTTTGGTCGTGTCAACCAAACAATATTCGTCAGCTTCAATTCTGCACACTCGTCTCTCCCTTGTTCCCTCGCCCCTCTCTTTCGCCTACTCTTCCTTCGATTTTGTCTCTATCTTCGCCTCGGTCTGCACATCGCCTCTATTCATACCTCCTTCTGTCCTATATATACACCCCAGGCCTTCCCGCCATGACTGGCAAAGAGATTCTTCATAAAATAAAGGTATGGCTCCCCCACTTTCCTTTTTCATGTCTTCAATCATGACCCTTTTGACTGAATTTCTTTTGGGTAATGACTTATTTGAATGATTTCATCGCATTTTGCATCTTTTCATAGCTTTGCTTCTAGTGCAATTTGCTTCCTCTATTCTGTGATGGGTGAATGTTCTAGATCTTCCTGTGTTGTTGGTGTTCTTTCTATGATCAATTGAAGATGTTGGATATGATTGATGGGTGGTTTGAGCTCCAATTGTATCAATGCGTTCATATATGCGTGCCTTCTCTTTCATTGGTGACTATCGACACGATGGCCTCCTTCTACGTTTCTGAGCTTAAATGTTCAAAATTTTGAACTTGCTTGGGTCTGTAAAGAATGATATATCACTGTGATTGAATGACGATTCATCATGCTTTGTCTTTCCATCGTGTTTCATCCCTAATATGCAAATGTTCGCGATAAGACAAAACCAAGATGTTGGGGTGTGCTCTCTTCTAGAACCCAGCTGATACCTGGCATTACTGATTAACGGGGCATTCTATCCATAATTGATTTTAGTTACAACAGGTTTCATGTTGTATGTACTAAATCGTCCTGTTTTAAATAGTTTCTTTCGGTCGGTTGGCATTTGGATTCTTTTGCTTCATTTATAGCCGTTGGTTTGGTTAATGGTCGGAAAATATCTACTTCTTGTGGCCAACAATCTATGGAATTTATTGCAATGCTTCCTTGTTCCTGTAAGAGCAAAGCAGGTTGGATCACGGGTTGAAAACTCGGTTTCTTTCCTTTGTTAACCATAGAAACATAGAATGATCAGTAAAGCTCATTTATAGCATTCATGTGAATGAATTGTCTCCGCACCTTGATATCCTCTGTGTCAGTTATGACTTATCCAGCTGCAAAGCCAATCACTCTAGTGATGTTGAATTCTAGAGATCGTTTGGCCTTTAACTGTAGCATCTTATGGATGCCTCAAATTCGTGATTTGACTGGTACCGAAAAGTGAAACAATGCTGATGAGATGAGTAATGAATTGTTCAGTTTATTGTTAGTTTGGTATAGGCCTAGTGGAAGAGCATTGGATTGGATGATTCTTTAGAAAATTGGAGTTTACTATGACGATTTGCTGATGGATTAATGGACAAACAAATGACCAATTTGGAAGGACTAGATTCTGAATTAAAAGCAAACTACCATCCACAAGATGCATAATTGAGTAATATTCCAGATGTTTTTTTATCGCAATAAAGAATTAATATAGTGGATACACCGTACACTACTGCACTTAGTGACTGTCTAAAACCACCCCCGGGGGACGCCCCCTCAAATAAGAGTTTTGATGCTATATCCTGTTATTGGGAAAATGCATCGGGAATTATTATAAGAGTCACCCATCATGCAGCAGCAAATTGAACTTGCTGATAAGGTGCATACGGACGCGGGAAAGACGACAACAACCTAGTTAACAAAACTTTGGACGGTTTTCTCTTAAATCCAAATCCTAAACAACAATATTTTTCTCCTTTTTTTGGTCTTAACTTGGGGTAGCATCTATCTACATTCATTCATTCATTGACTGTGATGTTTGTACTCCTAGAAATAAAAGATTTGAGAGTTTATCACTCTGTTTTGGTTGTGATATTGTAAATCGTTTACAATTTTGCTCTTGGAAGAACGTATATAGACAAAATATGAAGTGTATATCTGTAATTCGAAGAGTTGCCTTGTGTCAAATAGATGTATTTGTTAAGTATCTGTGCTTCTTAGATTGTACCAAGTATTCTCATGTAGTGAGCCTTTGACAAACGTATGTTTCTTGCAGGAAAAAGTTGGATTGTCAGATCCTGATTCAGGGAAAGGAAAGAGCAAGATGTCAAAGCAGATAAGTCATGGCTTTCACTTGGTAAAGGGAAAATCAGCTCATGCTATGGAAGATTATCTCGTTGCAAAATTTAAGCAAGTTGATGATCATGAATTGGGTTTGTTTGCAATATTCGATGGCCACATGGGTCATGACGTGGCTGACTACTTACAGTGTCATTTATTTGAAAATATCTTAAAAGAGGTACTGAAGGATCCCGTTGCTTAAATTATGAGTTGCATCCATTGGGTATTTATTTGTGCACCATGTTGCTCTGATGCTTCATAATAGTTGACACGCTCATATCGGGCACATATTTGAAATGATGTGTGCATTTCATATTCTGACGTGTTCGATATGAGTGTTGGTTTTTTTTGGTCGGCTTCAAGAGCTAATAGAAAATTTGAATGATATAAAGATGACGAGTGATATTTATTTTGAACTAAAATTTATAGTGTTATATTATTCAAAACAATTTTTTTTAATATTGTTATATTTTTTTTCCTATTAAATTGTTCAATATATATATACTCAAATTTGTGCTCTCATTATACAGTTTTCAAAGTGCACCGTATCATGTTGTATTTGACAAGTGGGCTCTATTTGTTTTGTAAATTATGTTTCAATGTACACTTGTAAGTTGTATCAAACCCTTCCAGTTTTTGGGTCTGTGTTGTCAATTATTTTGTCCTTCTGTTTGCTTTTACTTAGGATTGACAATGGTTTTGGAACATGATATTTTCCAATAACACTTTTCCCCTTATTCATCTTCCCCTGTAGCCTGACTTCTGGACAGAAACTGGAAAAGCCATCAGGAGAGCATATCGTATAACTGATTCAGCCATTCTAGAGAAAGCATTTGAATTGGGGCCGGGGGGCTCCACCGCAGTCACGGCGATATTGATTGATTGTCAAAAGCTGGTAATTGCTAATGTTGGGGATTCAAGGGCTGTTCTATCCAGGAATGGTGTGGCCAAACAGCTATCAGTGGATCATGAGCCAAGCACTGAAAGAGAGCAGATCGAAAATAGAGGTGGTTTTGTCTCAAACTTCCCAGGTAAGCAGGTTTTAGACGTTGTGATCATTCTGCTCCATTCTCGTTAGAATACTGCTCTGGCTCATCCTTTTATGGTGGCTGTAGTGTGATGGGCTTATGATTATAGCATAGATGTCTTTCTGATTAGTGATTAATTTAGGGGATGTTCCACGCGTGGATGGGCAGTTGGCAGTGTCCAGGGCATTTGGTGACAAAAGCTTGAAGAATCACCTTAGTTCAGAACCACATGTAGCAGAGGAGATTATAGATGATGCTGAGTTTGTTATACTAGCCAGTGATGGATTATGGAAGGTCAGATTTAATAAATGACACCAAATCATGATGCACCTCACAGATGCTTTGTTGCATTATCTATCTATCTATCTATATATAGCTGGATTCACTTGCATACTTATCTGCTGCTCACACTTAATTTATCACATCTATCCTAGGTAATGTCAAATCAAGAAGCAGTTGATACTATCAAGGATGTAAAGGATGCTCGATCAGCAGCAAAACTTCTTACTGAAGAGGCACTTAACAGGAAGAGCTCAGATGATATCTCCTGTATTGTCTTGAAGTTTCAATGATCGCAACTCGCAAGAACTCATCATATTTGCAATAAGGTGTGCAGACTTGGAAGTAGTGTATAACAGTTTGTTGTTTGGAAAGCTTGATGTGCGCCAGGTGCTATGCTTGAGTCCTTTAAGGGGTGAACGTGATGTCGTGCCTGCTTTCTTGCAAAAAATCTGGGGAAGTGACCTGTTGTTTAATATGATAGACAAAACAAACGTGTTAATGTATAATTCAAGGATGTTTGCTCGGGTTAGGAGATCTTACAGACACATTTTTCATATGAAATACAAGTCATCTTCGTTTGTGTATGTTTGTGTGCCTTTTTGTTGGGGAAAAAGGAGGGGAAATCTGGGAATGCTGTGCCTTGATGCTTTATTAAACGAAATTAAGGATGGTAAGATACCAAACTTTTCGGAAATCATTCCTGAATAAAAAGCATTTACTGAAGAACATGCTTTATTCTATGAATAACCCTTGCAAGGGCCTTAGCCCATCGGTTCCGAAAGCATTTACCGAAGAGCATGTTTAGGAGGGCACGCTTCTTGCCTTTTGAGTTTCTGCAACTTGTTATTTAGAGGTGAAGCGAGTCAAAGTTGATGGAGAGTTATCTCTATAACCAACAAAATAAAATGAATATAAAGGAGCTCAAAGTATGCAGTCCGAGTATCAAACACATGTTATTTTCTATTTTCATATGAGGTAGTTTCTGCTTTTCCTTTTGTATTTTTTTTTTTTTTTGGTTTTTTTGATATTGCAATTAAAGTGTGCTTGTGAGTGTTGTTGGAGGTTAACGTAAGAAGAGATAATATTTTTCTTGACCAACCGCGCTAATAACTCCCTTTTGGACAGTTTATTCTCATAACATAGAATAGAACATACAATAGGTATGAAAATAATTGATAGAGGGAATCCTCTTTGCCCATGCAAGTCCAAGACAAGGACTCCATTTAAGGTGCTCTCACAGGACACTTAGCTAAGGCACACAGAAACAGAAGAAACGCACATAAACAGAGAGCTCCTGGCAAAAAGCCTGATTCACGTACTAATAAAACTCGCAAAAGTCACACTCTAGACAACGGATCGTTCTTTTATACTTATTCTGCCTAAGTCACGTACTAATTACTAATAACTAATAACTAAACTCGTAGAAGTCACCCTCTCTGGACAATGATTTACTCTCTTTGGCTTATTCTGATAACATGCAAATATTCGGTGTATGCCTTGGAACATAAGAAACTGGAGGATGACAGAAGAGAGAGAGCCTCTTATATAGCTAAGGCTTTATTTTATGTGAAAAGATTTGTAGCCAGAACTCCCAGAAACGCTCATTTGAACCCTTCCTCTATCATCAGCATGTCTGCAATGGCTCTCCTTTGTGTGGTGACCTTTGCCACGGTTGCAGCTCTCGTTGTAAATCTCACCAGTGCTTTTGCGGCGACGTTCATTGTGCCCAGCCAAGCGCCTTCGGCAGCTTCTCTTGGCTTCATCAAATTCCCCCAAGTCGTGGAACCTGCAGAGTCATGATAGGTTCCTATTAAGGTAAACACACAGAAGCAGAACATTGAACATTTATTTGGAATTTATTCTCCCTGGGGTTCATGAGAAAAGTAAAGTGAAAATGGCTTAGGCAAAGAAGTTCAAGTTCTTAGACAAGGTTACGATCATGTTTAAAGCACAGGACATTGATTCTCAATTGCTAGAAATGGTAAGCAGGAACCAGCCTTTTATGGCTTATAATATTAGGCGAACTAAAGTGATCAAAATTTCTATCCATTTCACTTAATTTTCCTATATCCACGGTGCAGGAGGATACCATCCGATCTCTATTAGCTTGTTTATATAAATGCTATTATTCCTTCCTGTGCTTCACAAAAACCAGAATACTTAAGAAGGAATGAAACAAATGTATATCATATCATAGTAGAGGAAAAATCAATCTTTATAATCTGTAGTGAAATTTCAAACATAGGGATGAAGCTCTAGTTGACGAAGAGATTAAGCACCTGCTACATTGCTGGCAAAACCTCTGCCTCAGTCCTGCAACCATGACAACTGGTGCCTTGGAGTGGAACTCACACACCCTATGGCGGCGATGGTACCGCTTTGCATCACTCAGATCAGCTCCACACCTCTCTGCCTGACAGGAAGGTGGAGAAACTCCGCCACATCCACTTGACCCTCTTCTTCCACTTCCCATGAAACCTTTCCTCTTCTGCTCTTCTACAACTCCGCCATCACCTCCACCACCGCTTTCTTCTTCCTCTTCTATCTCATCCTCTACTTCTTCTTCTTCAACTATGTTGTTATCCCTCCTTACCTTCTCAACTAAAGTTTTCTTCCTCTCCATCTTGGCTTCTATTGTGAGATCTTACACTAAGGTGGTGTTAATGTAGGTGAAGAAAGTGGTGGGAACAAGTACACTGAATGGAACACGCCATTTGGGAAGCTAGGAAGTGATGAGGGAGTTTATAAGGAGGAAAAGGGGAGAGAGGGTGGACCACAGGTTCCATTTTGTCAAGTGTGTGCTTTTTATTAATAGTGTGGGAATATGCATAGAGGAGGATTATTGGTAGACAAAACTTTTTTATTTTTATTTTTCAAAAAACATTTTTATTAGAGAATTAGATAGCAAATGCATGAAGAACTTCATCAAAGCCTTGTCTTTATGCAATAGGTTTTGTCTGTTATGGAAAGGTAACAAAAAGTTTAGATCCCAATTCTTGCAGTAAGTGGGAAGTGGGGATTGATTTTGTATGAAAGGTGTGTTGAAAGTGACAGTGCCCTCAGATACACTTACATGTCAATTCAAAAGCTTAACTATTGGTGCTGAAGGAATTATACATGAAAAAGGGAAATTCTGCCTTGTTTGTTTTTATGCTTTATGATAAGCAGACCACATTACAAGCAGTGCATAATGAATCCATGTCTTCAAAACCATATTTACCAAAAATTTCATGGCATCCTTCAAACTTTTGCAGAATCACCACAAGAACTTTACCAGGAAATTATTCACTGCCACTATTTATTTACATGTATAGGGTAAATGGTAGACATTTCAGTCCTGGTCTCTTTTCCAGTACTCTCACTACAATTTTGTGGGTTAAGCATTCAACTGAGATGGAAAGGGTGGAAGGTACTGATGTACTGCATTTTTACTTAAAGTCTATATGAAGAGCTCAGCGTACTGAGAGAGGTTAGGAAGATGAGAGAGACATAACAAGTTTTACTTGGAAGCCTTTTCAAGTTAAATGTACAGTATATCAAACTGTTTCTCTTTTCCTTGTTATTTCTAGCTTCCCCCTTGCCCTTCAAAATTTGAATCGTGCTCTATTTTCCTCTACCGTCTCCCCGTTGTACGGATGTCTTTACCAAATTTTTCAATCATTAGCTTTAAGTTTTTGGACAAAAGCCCATTTTTGTTTCAGTTTAGTACCTTAGAGTATGATTTTGTTCATCCCCTTAAAAATAATTTCATTGCTCTGAAAATGGAAGATGGCAACAAACAGCCTTTAAATCAGATATTTCATGACGTTGAAACAAATGCAAACTTTGAACTATTTTACAGCAGAACGAAAAAAATCAGGGTACCAAATTGACAATTACACCAACTTAACATCAGGATAAAAACATTCTTTCAAGGCCTAAATTTTTATTAAAGAACATCTTTTAAAAAGCTATCACTGCTAACAAATAAAATTGTTATCAAATTACAAAGAGTTGCAGTTGATCATAACTTTCTTAAAACTTGTAATAAATACCGTAAAATTTGATGCAAACTTTCGATTTTGAAAATTAATTCTTTTTTTGCGTCCTCAGATGTATTTTAACTTTTAAATCTTTGTGGGTATCAAGGTGATAATCATGCCATATTCTTCAAAACCAAAACAAAAATTCTGAACCGTGACGCTTTGTATGTATGTTACAACAGTAGTACTGAACTAGCAGGGCCACAAAGAAAATGATGTTTTACACTGACATGACCAAGCACGCTAGCACCATTCATAAGATGCCATAGTACTAAGTACTTGATGTGAGCTTTCACCATATGGAAGGTATCTGGATATGGAAGACAAAAGCAGGTGGGTTCAAACACTTATTAATGGGAAAAGATCTGAGGATTTGATGTTCACATCTGTGCTTTATTATTAGACTGCTAGCTTGTTCTCACTTTCACCCATTTGTGGGACATCGCTCACGTTCTGTGCTTTTTTACTGATTTGAAAATTTCCAAAGACAGGTTCAAGCACCTCTTGGCATCTTCCAGGAAAACTCTTCGTCAGGTAATGCCTTCTTTAAGTATGGAAATGCTTTAGTTGAAACCTGACGGATAGTTGAAGTCATGTGAGGAACCGTCAATCAAAAGCTCTAAACAATTATTATTTGTAGTATTCCTGAAGCCAAAAAAACTAGCTAAGAATCAATCTCCTTAAATATCTCAGAAAATATTCCATATTCTTTAACGTGGGACTTAGGTGCTTCATAAACTCATGAACATGCTTGAATGTTAGGCCATATTTGTATGGTTTTTCACCGCAATAATCCTCGAAAGCCTTTAAAGCTTCAAAGCACTTGTCTATATATATAAAGTTTGATTTGGAGGCTCACTATTACTACATCAAACATCCTTTCAAATTGTACTGATGTGAAGTATATGAAACAGTAATACATGATATAGAGTATTGTGTATCAATTCATCAGTCATGATAATAATAATTGTGTTATTCTTTCTTGTCCACTACAAGAATCAGAATATCACACCACACAAAAACTTCAACGCCACAAAATCAACCCTGTCACACTCGTTGAGACGTTGAGTTGTGTTACGGTCCCCTGCTTTCGCTCTTTCGATTATATTCTTCTCTCTCAGCAGTGACTTGTTATGCAATTGCAGGTGTATCCACCACGACAATAAAGCCCTGCAACCCCACAAAGGTACATGCATGACTGGGACGCGTTAAGGTGGACACAGAGAGAGAAAGAGAGAAGTGAAGATGGAAAAGGCCCTCGTTTGTGTAGGACAGTTGTGAGCAAATTCTTATTGTGAATGGACAAAAGCAAGAATTAAAGGCAAGCCTCAAATTGTAGTGCTATCTCGAGCGGATTCTTCTTCTTCCTCTTCTTCTGCTTCCATGTGTCTTTGTGAAGACAGCTAGATTGTTGAATGATTGATAAGATCAGAGGAATTAATTAAAGTCATGTTCATGCTAAGAGCATATGGTATTTTGTTGTTTGTCCCAAGGACACTTCCATTAGGCCTCCTGAAAGAAACTTAAAAGAAAGGAAAGAAAACCGAGGACTTGTTTTCACGCCACACTTCTTCTTCGTACAATGATGTATATGAAGGTAGGTACCTTTGAGTCTTCTGTCACAAACTTGTTTTGATTTGCTGTAACTTTATACGAGGAGGATTTGTGGGTGGGTGATAAAATAATTGACTAAGGTATCTGATTCTATGGAAATTTTGACATGGTTCTACTAGGTTCGTAATTGACTTTTATTTTTTTTCTTTTGGGTTGTCTTGGAATCACTATATATCCTGACGTCAAGTGGAGATTTTTCATTCAAAACGCTCCGCTTGGATCAGTTGATTTCTAGTTCGGAGAGCATGAACAAACAAGCCATTGATTTAAAGAGATGCTTGTGGATTTGATTAAAGTTAGTAGTATAGGAGACGTGTGCTTCGTTCATTGCAAGAAGATATAAAGGGCAAAAACAGAGAAATTAATGAATTGTTCAAAAGAAATATCTCTTGATGTGTGTGTGTGTGTGTGTGTAGTAGTTGTTTGAGGAAAAATATTTCTTCTTGCATCTAGTGTATAGTGTTATGTTTAAAATATGTGACAATATATCCTTAACATTTTCGTGAACTTCCCGGAATATATATTTATATATATTTGCTCTTGTATTTACTTCTTACGAGTTTTATTGAGTGACTTTACATAGGATAAAAAAATTATTAAAATTAATTAATGCTATTAAATTCTTAAAATTATTCATGATAAAATTTATTAAATAGAATACAATGAGTAAGTTAAGAGGCTATTTATTTCATTAAGAAATATATGATGTTTATGAAATAAATTTCAGACAAGTTACATACGATTTTGTCGTGAAGAGGGATCGTATAGTATGGATTGGGGAGAGTATTATAAGTTTCAATGACAACAACTCTTGTACATTCATGTTCACTAACAATAGGTGGTAATCATTAGCACATACAATATAATCATGAAGCATAAATTTATGAGTGAAAATTGAAGAACCCACTATTCTAACTTCAATTATAAAGAATGTATCAAAAATTACAGAAACGTTCAATTATTTCTCGAGGTAAAAGGGGAAACATGCATATTAAGGAAAATGGATAGTTGGTAAAAATACTTGTTTGAGATATGATACAAACCTGTTTTAAAAAAATTTAAAATAGATATTTATACCATTTTATTGTGAGAAAAATTCGCCAAAAAAGAGAATTTAATGCTGTGTTTACAAACATAATCTCCAGCTCCTCATGTCCCCCCGGCCCCCCAAAAAAATTAGAATATAACTGGCAGTAATGGTGTTGGTGGGTGACCAAAGTTCAATATCTCTTCGTGCCAAGCTGGGATTTGGTTTAATTAGATGAAAAAAAAAAAACATATCCAAAAAAGATTAATCAATTTGATCCAACTTAACTTGAACCGAAACCAAATGAGATATCTGAACAAGAAATTAGAGCAACACGTAGAAAGGAAATTAATCAAAGCCTTTGGGCTCCTTGTGCTGAACTGAGACACTTTTAATAATTAAGTGGAGCCATTCATTGTTAATTATGACATTGAAACAAACCCTTGTTAGATTCTTGTGCAACTATATAATGTGGTTCAATAGTTATTGTTTGAGCCTTTGTTGTTGAGGTCATCCTTCTTAGTATTAATATTGTGATGAACCCAGTTAGCAGTTCGCTGAGTTTCTTTCCAGCCGTCATGCATGGCCTCCATGTCAGAAGCTTCCACAGCTCTTATGGGGCCTTCTCTTGCTGCATCATTCGTCATAGCCATCTCCTCTTGCTTCACTTCGTACATTTCCTCTCTCGCCAAACCCCCACCGGCCACCACCACCTCCTTCTCCACCGCCCTGCATTGTATGCATGCAAAAACCACTGTGATATATATATATATATGTATGTATGTATGTTTGTATGTACACGACCTGGGGACGATGTTGGAAAGCTGCGGAGAAGAAAGAGGTAGGGTTTAGCGAAAACTGGCAAGCAGAAGAGCGCAGGGACAAGACATGAAGAGGGAATTTGGAGATACTGAGGATGTTGTTTGTGAACATTATAACGTTACTGCAATAATAATAATAATGATTGTCGATTTGGTTTGGTACGGCGTTTATATATCTCTCTCTGCGCTGTCACCATGTATGGTTGTGGATATAACTGATGTTGAGAGAGGGGGGGGGGGGGGAGTTTAATTAATCGGCGAGAGTTGATCGGAACACCTTCCTTTATGGATTTTGGACACACTCTTGCCTCTTGCACCGCGTAGCTTCATTTACAACAACCACCACAAGAAGAAAGAAAATAGAAATACCGATGCATATGTGTAGTAACGATCAAACGCTGTTGGTTATCACAAAACAATCATCAAACATTTAACTTACGCTAACAATTGGATCTTAAAAAGAGCCAGTTCTCAAAAAAATGTACACATTAGTGTTCGAATACCTATTCTCATTTAGGCTCTCTGACGTTTTATAGGAGGGTTTTAATGTGCCAAGTCGTTTTACATTTTAATGAAGTTTGATTTTCTTGTGAAAAAAAAATTATAGAAGGCAAAAGTTTTGTGCGCATAAGAAAATAGAATCGATGCATACGCTGTCGAATCACTTCACATAAGTTGAAATTAGGATGCATTGTTGTTTTGGATCAGAATGGCCCATTTGGCAAACTGTTAAAAATGGTGGTAGGCCCAATAAATTAGTGAGAGGCCACAAAACTCCCACCCAATAAATGCTTGAACCATTAAAAATAAAAAAGAGAAAAAGAGTTGTTACCAAAAAAAAAATAAAAGAAAAGAAAAGAAAAGAAGGGGAGATAATAAGTCTATATCGAAGAATTTGAAAAGCCTTATAATAAAACAAGTGTTTTCATAAACTAAGATAAAATTTTCCTCACATCCTTACTTCGTATATCTTAAAATTACTCTGAAAAACACTAATTCATGCAATTTTCTTCAAAATTTACAAAATTCACAGGATAAACTGTTACCGTTATATAATTCTTTTCGTCATCTTATCAATTTGAAAAAAAAAAAAAGAGTATGAATGGATGTTATGGTTATCTGTCTAAGTCTCAAATTTTTTAAAAAGATTTGAATATTGGGTGAATACTTTCTCCCATAGCCCAGTGTTTTCCAAAGAGACGTAAAGAAGAGGAGACCGCGTTCCAAGCATTTATATTTTGTGTTTGAATTTTTTACTATTATCAAAAGTTTGAAAATTTTGAACCTTAATTTCTGGATCATGACATTGACCTGCATTACCGTTTTTGTTTTGTTTAATAATCTCCAAATTTATCTCCTTTTATTATAAGTATTATAGCTTATAGGTCGCTATCTCATGAAGAACAAGGGGGGGAAAAAAGTGAAATTGCCACTCAATTTGTAATGGGAAACGCATTAGGCAATTTCACACTATCTTTCTTTACCATATACTATTAAAAATGTGTCATAATGAAATCACTGAATTAATTAGCTAAGTTAATGATTTTGACTAATTACGAGAATAATAATTGCATGCTGGGTCGGTCCTTATGCAATTATGTTTTATATTGAATATTAATTGATATTGATGTGGATGGTGAGTTGATAGGTTGATTACGTTGATCATATATTAATTTAAAAAACTAAAAAGAAGATGACTATAAATAAGGAAAATTATTCTAGATACTCTATTTAATCTCATCCATTCTATCTACTGAATGTATGATTACATGATTATAAAATATTTTATTTAAATATAATAATGGCAGCACCATTCATCAAGTTATATTATGAAGAATCTTCTCCCAAATAAATTTTTAAAACACGTCTTATAATCCTAAAGTTGTTAAAATTTTTATACACATATAATCTCACTCGAGTGTATTCAAATTAAGTATAAAATTCAATATAACTCTAAAAATAAGTTACTTTTTATTACCTAAAAAAACATGTCTTATTATATTACAATATGAAAGGAAACAAAGATAAACACTAAGCCACACATTGTGAGAAGTTTGGTCCGTTTCAATTTGGACTACAGAATTGATCAAGGCCGCAACATTTATTGAGAGTACCTATAATCTAAGATATTAAAATGATCTGCTAACCTTAACATATTGTTAGCTGCATTTTTTAATTAAGTTTTAATTATTGTATCTGCAATCAGAATATTGTAATTAAAAATAAAATTGAAAGTCAAAGGTCCTGTAGCCCAGTGGTATTGATTTTTCTTTGTAAGTAAGAGGTTGCGGGTTCACTATCGCTTATAACCTCTAGCTATTAGTGTTTGTCCTTTTAACTCAAAACATTAAAAAAAAAAAAAAAAAAAGGAAACGGCAGTGGAGAAAACACCTTTGAAATGTTTGCCTCCAGCACTAGATAGACAACAAACTCACTGGGACAGAATCCACACCAATATTTGAGTGTATCCTTAACTGTCCGATTGGAACTTTATGGTTGGTTTCATGAGGATTTTAATGTTTGTTCAAAGCCTTTTTCTGATAGGAAACTTCCGTGCCTCTGAACCACACAGATTAGCTTCTTTTTATAAAAAGAGAAAGGCCACTTTGTGAGTTCCGCGCCAGTACTTGCCTCTTAAAGTAAAAGCACAAGAGGAGTTTCAACCATGCGGAAAAAAGGATCATCCCAAGTAATATACTGTTACCAAGTGGGACTTCGCATCAGCAATACACACACACACACACACAATATACTGAGATGGTATTTTCTTCAGCCAATTGGTTGATTCTAAAGTGCAGATTCCACTTATTTCTTTCAAAATCTTGCCGAGACTCTTCCAGTGGTCTGATCCCATTTGGGTTTTTGAATCTCTATCTGTTTTGTCAACTACCCCTTTGAACCACTATGTATTGTCAGTCCTTATTTTTTTGGTGGGTGGAGAGATAATCTTTAGATCAATTTTGGTGACAAAGTAGCTGTCCCATTGAGCCACAACAACCAATATATATCAGTTTAATTATAACCTCAGACTTTGATAAGATAGTCTAATACCCACTATGGATTTTTTTAAAGGTATTTGGATGCCATCGCTATGCGGAACAGATATTACTGTAAATGAATCGTGTTCAGGTCCAGTGGAACAGAAATAAAGGTTATTAGGAACAACACAGCAGGAAAGAGCAATTTTTGTCACATTCACCATCTGTTGCATGCATGTACAAATGCAAGGAAAGAACAGTTAGATGACTTGCACGATTTGTGATATTGAAACTCACAATTTTACAACTCAGTTAATGGGAAGAAAATGCAGATCCTCTATAATTCTTATTTGCAGGAACATCTGGTGGCCAAAATTAGCCTTTTTTACAGAGTACACGTATCAGTATAGTGTGAGAAAAGGACCAGGAAAAAAAAAACCAAAGAACGCCGAACCCCCATACAACAAACTTGCTATAAATGTTGGCAGTCAGAGAACAACCAAAATCCAGATAGCTAGCTGTCACGTATGTAAGAACTCATAATCACTGCTGCAAACCATCAGCCCCTACACGATCGAGCGATGAAACAACTTCTTCAATACAGGGTCTTTGCCTTGGTTCCTGGTCCAAACATCTACAAGCAATGGCCAGTACCTCCAAGAGCTGCTTCTCATTATCCTTGTCCCAAATGGCTGGGTCGAAAATTTCTTGCTCCTTGTTTTCTGATTTCATCTGAAACACCCAAGACACCAGGTTCCTGCAGTTTTTACCTTTGATGACTTCTACCGGCCTTCTACCAGTAAGAAGTTCGAGAAGAACAACACCGAAGCTATAGACATCACCCCTGAAGGTTGCTGTCAATGTCTGACTATACTCTGGCGGAATATATCCCAATGTACCCACTAAGTCTGTTGTAACATGGGTGTCATAAGGCTGAAGTAGTCTTGAAAGGCCAAAATCAGCCAAATGAGCTTCAAATTTATCATCCAGAAGTATATTGCTAGATTTGACATCCCGATGAACTATGAATGGCTCGCACCCCTTATGCAAGTAAGCTAATCCATGAGCAGCACCTTTTGCAATCTTGAGTCTCACATCCCATTTCAAAGCTGATTTTTCATCCACGCACTCATGCAGCCAGTAATCCAGACTTCCATTCTCCAAGTAGGAATAGATTAACAATCTGACATTGCCATGCCGGCAATAACCTTTTAGAGAAACAAGGTTCTTGTGCTGAGCTCTGGAAAGGGCCTCTACTTCAGCTTGGAATTCACGCTCCATCTGACCACAGTCACCAGAAAGTCTCTTGACTGCAGCTTTTGTGCCATTTGGAAGATTTGCCTTGTAAACGAGACCAAACCCACCACAACCAATAATGTTTGCTTGGTTAAAATTGTTTGTGGATTTCAACAAATCCGCAACTGTGAGATCCTTGCAATCTGAATTCTGAAAAAGAACCAATTTTGAAGAAACAAGTCCTTCAGATAACCTGGGGGGCCGACCCAATTCCTCATCAAAGTTTTCAACCTGCTTCTCTTCATCCCTTTTTGATACTTTCAGAAGAACAATGGCAAGAAGCAGGGCAAGCCCTACCCCTATACTGATTGTTATACCAAGGACATTGTTTCTACCAAATCTGCTGGAAGAACCAGCAGGCATATTGGGCCTCCATCCCATATTGTTGGTTTTGCATTGAGAAATTATTCCACCACAAAGTCCCGGGTTGCCATCAAAACTTGTACTAGGAAAGCTTAGAAACTGTCCCCCGGATGGAATTTGTCCCTGCAAGTGATTATATGCCACGCTGAACTTTGACAAGAATGTAAGCTTGTTAAACGATGGAGGGATCATTCCATAGAGATCATTATATGACAGATCTAATGTTTCCAAGTTCTCCATCTCTGAAATGCTGCTAGGAATTGTATCAGAGATTTCATTCCTGCTTAAATCCAAAACATGCAGTGCTTTGAGTTGCCCAATTTCTGGCCATATCACTCCACTCAATCTGTTATTGCTCAATAATAATGAAGGGGGGAAACTTGAAGCCTGGTTATATTGCAGCCCATTAGCACTCTTGTTTCTCTTGACATAGAGAGGAACACCGGCTGATGCAGACAGATTTGGCCTAGTGCAATTTGTGGATACAAGACCCTTCAACTGTGTCAAACTTTTTGGCATTTCTCCAACGAAAGAATTGTTTGAGAAATCCAGGTAGAATAAATTGTCCATCCTACCAATCCAAGAAGGGATATTGCCTTCCAAACGGTTCCAAGACAAATCAAGGACTGCTAATTTGCTGCAATTCAAAAGCCAAGCAGGTACTTGGCCTTTGAGACCACAATTTCCCAGAGCTAAAACCATTAGGCTCTCAAATCCCAAAATACTTTTTGGTATTTCCTCACCATGGAAATTCTTTGTGAGGATAACTGTAGTGAGGTTTTTACAATGCTGCAGCACAGACAGGGCCCCAGATAAGTTCTCTAAGCTGTTGTTTGACAAAGACAAAAAGAACAGCGATGAAAGGTTTGCATAGTTTTCAGGAATTGAGCCTGTCAACCCATTCTTAGCAAGGCTCAAAACTTTCAGTTCACGGCAATATGACAAGGAGTTTGGAAGAGGGCCAGTAAAATGATTAGACGCAAGATCAAGGTTACAGAGTTTAGACAACCCAGTAAAATCAAGATCAATTCCACCCGCCAGAGAATTGTTCCGAAGATCAAGCACACGAAGCTTTGAGCATAAAGCCAAGCTAGATGGCAATGACCCAGAAAATAAATTGGAGTGCGCTGCCAATTGTTCTAAATCTGACAAATTCCCAAACACATTTGGGAGTACCCCAGAAAACTGGTTGCCAGAAATTACTATGGACTTTAGGCTAGAGAGCTTACTTAGTTGCGTGCTTAACTGACCAGAGAAATTGTTCACAGACGCCGAGAGTTGCTCCAAGGCTGACAGTGAGTACAGAGAATCCGGAAGAGGGCCTGAAAATAAATTATTATCCAAATGCAACTCATGAAGAGATGTGTTACATTTGCCCAAGCCTTCGAGACCACCAGCAAAGCGATTGGCAGATATATCAAGGACGCGAAGCCCCTTAGAGGAACTGCAAATTTGAGAATTGAACTGACCGTTGAATGAATTGTTGCTTATGTTGAATGCAACGAGATAAGGAAATTCCCCAAGCTCAGAGAGGTTTCCACTAATTGAATTGCTGGAAATGTTCAGTGTCCGAATGGACTGCAAGCCGGAAAGAGCTTCAGCAACAGGTCCTGACAGCATATTATGGCTCAAATCCAGATATTTCAGCAGCTTCAACTTGGAGAATTCTGAGGGCAACGCACCTTGGAGATGATTGAACGAAAGATCCAGCACAATTAAGTGGTCCAATTGCGCTAGAGAAGTAGAAATTACCCCTTTGAGACCCATTTGAGGCAGAATCAACTTGGTCACTCTATTACCAGTTGTCTCATCAGTCAAATTATCACAGACCACTCCAACCCAATTGCAGCAATCAATATCAGTGGACCATGATGCGATAATAGACCCATTAGTGAGGCTGCCAGCAAATTGCCTCAGAGCCAACACATCACGAGAGTCACAGGATTGGGTTGAGGTTTTCAGACCCAGAGATAAGCAAAGAAAGCAGGCCAAGAGCCCCCATTGGAGAAAACTCATCAAGAAATGTCTCGGTACCACCATCATGAAACCAAATAATATCCTCAAGCTGAAGTCAAGGCAGGGCTAAGCTCCCATCGGCGAAGAAGAAGCTAGCGTCATGAGAATCTCAATGCTTTTCAGAACTACAAAGAAGGAGCTTGAAATCGCAAGGGAAGAAGAACAAATTACAAATAAACAAAGGATGTCACCAATCCCCAAGTGGAAAATCAAATCCCCAGAGGAGAGATCGAGACAATGGGAAAAAAACACTACTCAATCTGAACGCACACTCACAAACAAGCCCTTGAAGAAAGAGATAAGAAGCGCAAATGAAGAAACTTATATCCCCTGCCCCCAGACGCCTAAGAAAGCACAAAAAGGACCATCCAAGAGCAGCTTGCGGGTGAAGCGAACAACAGTGGCCATGAAGGAGCCCCAAAAAAAAAAAAAAAAGGTAAAGGAAACAACAATCAATTATACAGGTAGAACTGGTGATCTTCCCTCGTCCCCACCTGCAATTAAGATCCTTGACCGAAAATCAAGAATCCATAAACTAAAAATTGACGGGACAAAAGCCAAAAACTTAAAACAAGAACCACACAGATTATTGAATGAAAATTAAATCCCACTAGATCACAACATAACTACCAAAAAAACCCTTCCATAAAAAAACAAATCTTTTGGCTACTTAAGGAGACAGAAGTTGAACTTATGCGCTAAGGGAGTTGACAAAGAAGAATAAAGAAAGATGGAGTACGGGTACATGACAAGGCCCTGCGAACCTAACTTCAGCAGGAAAAAAACTTTCGTCAAAGGGTATCCCTTGGTTTCCAAACCAGGCGATCTTTTCTTCTCTATGGTCTTTTCCCTGCGCTACAGTGAGTAAATTTTTTTTTTCAAACGTAATAGCTGTCTTCTCTCTGATTTTCAAACCAAACACAGACGAGGGTAGAATCTAGAGGAGAGAGAGACAAGGGGAGCAGATATTTCAAATCAAAGAAATAGTGCAAGAGAGAGAGAGCACTAGTAGGCAGTAGCACAGTGCGAGACAGAAAAGGAAAGTTCTTTCTCTTTCCTGAGAATCTAATTTTTTATTTGGTTGGGTCGTAGTAGTAAGTAGAGAGAGAGAGAGAGAGGTTTGAAGGTTGAAACGAGAACGAAGGGAAGAGAGCTGACTTGAGCACTATAAGTATTTTTCTCTACCGCTTGGATTGCTTTCTTTCCTGTTCACAGTGGATAAATGCCTGCGAGGCTGCCTGCTCCTTCACATGCTGACTTGAAAGAGAGCCCACATGGCCATCTTCTCTCTCTCCCCCCCGCTCTTTCTCTCTCTATGTCTATGTGTGTGTCTGAGCGTCAATGCTCGGCACCTGCATTTGTCTGCCTTCTTTCTCTCTCTTTGGAATAAAGAGGGGCGATGGGGTTAAGAGGTTCAACAGATTCGGTAAGTGCGGTAAAACGAGGAGAAAAAGAGGTTTCCAAGCCCCACGCTTTCATTACGCGCGTGCTTTGCACACGTGGCACAGCTATGATTACAAATGGGTCTTTGTCTCAATTGCTCGCGCTATCATTTGACTCTACCAAAGTGCTTTTTAATTTTTATAGTTAAAATAGTATTGATTTTTGTTTGATTAAGGGAGTGTTTGGAAACACCCAGAATCACTTTTTAGAAGTATTTTCTATAAATCGAGATAAATTTTTGTACATATTTATTTCGTTATACTGTAAAAACACTTCTGAAACTATGATTTTATTCTTACCTAAACACCCCCTAAATATAAGTATATTTAAAAGTTTATTTAATTCTAAATATAAGTCTTTTTCTTTTTTGCATTATTTGTTCTAACTAATTTGTGTAATTTTAAAAAATATCTAAGATTTTTATTTTGTAATTAATATGTAGAGAATTTGTGACATTCTTTAAAAATGCTCATACTATTTAATAATCAAAATTTATACAGACGTAAAAAAATCCCAACAAAAAATATTATTATAAAAAAAGGGTAAATGTGCATTTAACACTCAATTGCTCGCGCTATCATTTGACTCTACCAAAGTGCTTTTTAATTTTTATAGTTAAAATAGTATTGATTTTTTGTTTGATTAAGGGGGTGTTTGGAAACACTCAGAATCACTTTTCAGAAGTATTTTTTCGTAAATCGAGATAAATTCCTGCACGTATTTATTTCGTATACCGTAAAAACACTTCTGAAATCATGGTTTTGTTCTTACCCAAACACCCCCTAAATATAAGTATATTTAAAAGTTTTATTTAATTCTAAATATAAGTCTTTTTTCTTTTTTGCATTATTTGTTCTAACTAATTTGTGTAATTTTAAAAAATATCTAAGATTTTTATTTTGTAATTAATATGTAGAGAATTTGTGACATTCTTTAAAAATGCTCATACTATTTAATAATCAAAATTTATACAGACGTAAAAAAATCCCAATAAAAATATTATTATAAAAAAAAGGGTAAATGTGCATTTAACACTCTAATATTTCTTTTCAAATGCAATTTAGCACTCTAATCTTGTTAATAGTGCATACAAAGATACAATATCCTGATCATATTTTTTAGTGCATCTAGCATCCTAATTTTATTTTCAATGCATCTAGCAAAGATTTGGGTGTTGATATAACTAAAAAAATAATATCAGAATGTTAGATGCATTGAAAAGAAGAACACAATAAAAATAACTAGGTGTTGGATGCACTTAAAAAAAAAGATTAGAGTGTTGGAGGCACATTTACGTTTTGTTTCATAATACTCTTCTTTATCGGAATCTTTTTATCTTTGCATAAATTTTAATTATTAAATACTATGAGTATTTTTACAAAGAATGTCATAAATTCTCTACATATTGATTACAAAGTGATCATCTTAAATATTTTTTAAATTATACAAATTAGTTAAAAATATTATACTGGAAATATATCCTGTTTTTTTTTTAAACAACATATGTTAAGTTACTTTATGAAAGTAATATGGACCTATTTTGTTAATAATGAATCCTGAAAGTTGTATTGTTCATAATTTATAATCTGCCATTTTTCTTAGGAAACATCCATCACATTATATGTCATTCATCTACTATAGTTTGAGTGACTTCAAGTTTTGGTTTTATTTTAAAATATCAGTCACTCTAACTTTTTAATGAATTAGCAATAATTTTTTTGAAAGGAAGACAAAACGATATGTTAAAAAAATGAAATGTTTAAAATTTACAATAAGATAATGAACAGATAAATTACTTTAAACAACTAAGAAAAGAGGGTAAGGAAACATCGTTGAACATAATAATAAGAAAAGAAATCAGATACAAAAGATAAAATGTCATGCCAATAGTATTTGTTAAAGATTGATAGTAGAGATCTTAAAACCGCATCACGAAGGTTAAGAGTTATGAATCCAGCACGAAGACATTTGTTTTAAAAAAAGAAAAAAGTAGACCACTTCTACAATTACTTGTTCACAGAAAGTGAACCTTGATACTTTATAGCTCATGGCTTCATGGTAGCAACGAACTACTATTAAGTAATTGTAAATGATTTTTTTTTTTTAAAAAAAATAAGCTTAATTTAGGGGGTGTTTGGCACGATAGAAAAGTGTTTCTGAAAAATATTTTTTTACAAAACGAAACAGACTCCTCTACATATTTACTTCGTATACCATAAAAACACTTTTAAAATCATTATCTAGTTTTTATCTTGATACCTAACGGGGAGTGGGAGGTACGAGGAGAACGGAGAAGTGAAAGAGGACGCGCTGAAACAGAGTAGGTGAAAAGGAGAGCGGCGGTACGGTAGGCGAACGTCACGGGTTGAAGAAGCTGTGTTTATTTGATCAGCCTCTCTTTCTCTCTCCCTTGTCGGGTCAACTCCCCCCCCCCCCAATTATGATTCCTTTCATTCATCAATACTGGTAATTATCAACTCCAATTACTAATTCACGGATTATTAATTAAAATTAATTAAAAATATAATAAAGGAAAAACATTATGAAAAAGAATTGTTGAAAAATGTGATAAGAGAGAATATAACAAATAAGATAAAATAAATAATGAAAAAAATAAAAAAAATTAAAACTTATATAATCAATCATATCTCTTTCTAAATTTCAAACTTATAAATAAGATCGGAATAAGTATACATTAAGCCATACTCTTTTAATTACAACACACTTTAATTAAATTTTTTTAATTAAACCCACTCATATCCGTTAGCATCCGACTAATTTAAGTCTAATGGTGACGCGGCTTTCCTAAGCGGCCCTCCTTGATCTGTATGATCATCGAAACATCAATCCTTATTATAAGTTACTAACAATTAAGTTATTAATTATATTTTTGTAAAATTTTCTCTGTTTAAAATTTAAAATCTCATTAATTATAATTTCTATGACTTCTTATGTATGATTCATGTTATTTGCCTTATTTGATGTGACCAGATTTAGAAAGTTTTTATTTTCAAACAAATTTAATAATTTAATCACATTTCCTTAGTTTTTGAACAGATAGTTGCACGTGCCTTAAATCAAGTAAAAAAAAAAAAAACTCAACCATCGGGTAAACTAGCATAAGCTATAGTTGAGTTAGTGCTTATTCAGAATGGCACTGGGATTCTTCAAAATTATTTTTTTATTGTGATTTATAAAATACAAAATAAGTAAGTTTGCAACAACCAAAAAATTGGCTCAGATGAACGTATTGATAAACACTTAATATAATAAGCAATTCTAATTAAACCCTTCTACATTTTTGTTGCTGCTTTAAATGTTATCAAGACTTTGTAACCCAAATAATTACACTGAGGACATTTCTTAAATTAAAGTTGTTTCTCATATGAATTTGCGATCTTAAATCCTCAAGAAAGAAAAATGTGACCAGTATGTGTGTGTGAGGTAAGAAAGAAAAATACTCCTCCGGTTCTAAATATAAGACATTTTTTATAGTGTAATTTATACTACAAAAAGAGTCTTATATTTAGGATCAGAAAAGTATAATTTAATATATGATAAAACTCAAATCTAATACCATAATATTTCATAATAACATAGTATTTGATATCATATGGTTGTATTAATTATTAATTAAAAAACTTGTACTGTATTCCTAAAAAACTCGGGACAATAAATGCAATTTTATGTGGTAGTGTCCTTAATGGCATCACACGCATCCACCCCTCCTCTCCTCACGTTCACCATGAGATCTGGAACTTAAAATATTTTTTTTAGATTAATATAATTTTTTATTTTTTAAGTTTGCCCTCATTTTTATTTTAATCCCCTCTAATTTTAAATTATAAGTTAGATAACATGGTCTAATTTTTTATTAGATTATAGAAAAAATATTATAAATAAAAAAAATTTAAGATTAAAACTTGGACACTAAAGTTTGTATTAACCTTATTTTTTTTACCAACAAGAACTACAAATGTTTTAAATTTCACTTGTTTGTACATAACAATAATAATAATAATGATAATAATAACAAGTAATAAAATGGATCTGTTGATATGCATGTGATTAAAGGTTGAAAGACAAATAGTACTATGTATTATATTAGTAATTAGTTTATATGTCGCTCAAATTTAGTCATAGGGATCCGCATATGTACGTTAGTTTCATGTCTCATGACTGAGGAAGAACCAACTTGCATATATATATATATATATATATATATGCATCGAAATGCACAATTAATGTTAACTACTACACATGCATCAACTTGCACTGCACATGCAGGATTAATTGTACTTTTGCTTCTATTTTCGAAATGCGAGGCTTCCATAAATTCCGATACTATGTGGTTAAGGTATTTCGGATTATTTAATTAAAACATAGTTTACATCAGACTTCAAATATAAATTAACGTAACATGCAGAAAATACCTAAACAGCATGGAGGACATTTAAAACGAATATATATATATATATATTCATATATGCCCTAATTATTAACTTAATCTTGGTCCTAAATGTAAGACTTATTTCTTATATTTATAAATTTTTATTAAATAATCTTTGTTGATACTCTCTCAACCATAATCAAGTAGGAAAGAGATGAAAGATATTAAGAAAGATGATTATGATGTTTTAGAAAAAACATATCATATTTCATATAATTAACTAATTTACTTGACTTTCTTAACATACTTAAATATAGTTAAACATGTTTTACATTAAAGACCATAGGAGTAGTAAAAAGACAGGCTTGACTAGTCACAAATAAGTGAGC